ATTCAGCGTGGTTTGCCACTCAGACATATTAAACATAAAGCCATTGAACTACTGTTGCTGCGGTGAGGACGAACAGTATGTAGGCATGTATGGAAAATACCAGCCAGGTTTACAGAGATCTTACTAAACTGGCTGTTTTTCCCGGTTTAATTTTCGACCTCATTAACTGTGGCTCAGTGTAGATTTCACACTAAATGCCGGCTCTTTTTCTACTGTAAATTTTTTTTCAATGTACATATTCAAAGACTTTTCAGAGAGCTTTACCATAAATTAGTTACTCTACAACTTTCTACATGCCATTTACCTCTGTAAATACAATCACATTGCACTGTTCACAAGAATCTGTCAGTTTTGACAAATGTCATTTCTGTAGTATATCAGCAAGAAGCTGCAGAGTATCATGTAAAGCAATCATCACAATGCAAAAAGAAGATTCAATACAAATAAGTCACACAACAGATGAGTGTTTGAAGGTCCTTCATAATGCAAGACTTCTTAGAAAGTCCATTTATTAATTCAAGCGGATTACATGAACAGAGCCAAAGCTTCTTTACTTCATTAAAGTCAATCAAATAAAGCAGGTCAGCTCCGGCTGCCAGTAATTAAAATACTTTTTTTTTCCTGATGGAGAAAGGCTGTCACTTTTACTAATAATGCTCACCTATCAGCACTACTAACTTTCTGCTTCATTAGTTGTCCCCTTTCTGTGGTTGAAGCAGTTAATTCTCTCCTTGTGAGGACTTGAAATATGAACACTGTTCATATTTTCTGTCTGAAGGGAAATAAGCTGAGGCAGGTGTACACAATAGACATAAACAATACATGTTTGCACACAGTCGATAGAAAGTCTAAGGCAAAGGTACAAGCAACTGTACAATTACTTCACTTCAGCTGTCACCGTGATAATATCTGGCTCACCGTGATGATTACAGTTTGGTCACATTAATGTGATATTGTATCAGGTCCTCAAGCACAGTGTGAAGCTGGATGAATTAAGTCACGGTTCAGGGATATTTAATCATTTCAATTCTAAAACTTCTTTGCTGGGCGACACAAGAAGGTTATAGGTTCATATCTACTGAACAAAAGACACATTTACAGGAGAATACAGCCATTCTTTGGTTGCCATTTCAGCGTTTCCTCTTTAAATTAAATAAGAAGTTAATTACTGTACTGTATTAACTGAGTTTCTGGTCTTTCTTGGAACTGTCGCACGATATTTGTTTAGTCACATTTCGCTTATTCTTTGCACTGCGTGCTTAAGGTGATACTACATTTAATGTACAGTGTCCCTCCCTTAGTTAATTATCACAGCTTCCTCACTCCTCGCGCCACACGGTTAAGGGAGTGCTACTGTATTTAATGTAAGTACCGTTAAGACAAACACTGGCCAGACCAAATTATTCCCGGGAGTCTGTTTCATGGTGGCCTATTTCTAGCTGAACTTTGCACTGTGCTCGGTCACACAAACATCAGGAAATCAAAACAACGGTGATCAAAAGTCTCTGAAATAAGCTGAAAATAATCATCACAAAACTGCTACATGATTCAAACGTAAACATCTTTATTCCCATGAGTCTTTGGGCTCACAAGAAGGAACAACTAATTTTAATAGAGCACAAAACTGTTCAGTACTGTAAATATTTCCTCTTCAAAGGCATTTCAGTGCCTAACTGTATTCACAAAGACGGCACACTACTGTTCAGAACTTCCATCTAATTTCTGCAGTGGACAGTTTGTGCAAAGCTTTACGACAGTTCGCTAAAATGCAAACTAAAACCCAGACTAATAAACTTGCACTGTGTTTTCCAGCCACCAGCTAATTGGTGCACCGAGCGAACACAAAGGTCCTGGTTCAGCCTGACAGCCAGAGGAACTGACAAAGCATTTCCATTTCTGTCTTTTACGCACTCCAGCTCCACCGCTGTGCTCTTTCAGCCCTCACAAATGTCTCGTCAGACACATCTAATCTTCTCATCCCATGCTGCTCAGTCTTCCTACAGTCAGTTAACCCAGCAAAGGGCGATTAATGAGAAATTAATCTCTTTAATTCACTGCAAAGGTCTTCTCTTCTTTTAACCAGATAAGCTGCTGCTGCACTTTTCCAGATTATGATGATAATAAAATTAATTTATGAAGACCAGCATGTAATACAGGATCCTCATCTCTGACTGGTCTGTAGCTGACAGGGAGAAAAAAGGCAAAATAAGACAAGAATGCATTTAGGTGGATTTTATTTTATAGCTGTTTCAGTCTGTATATGCAAATCTATCTTTTCACTAATAGAAGAAAGAAAAAAAATGTGACGTGATCCTCATTTCAGCTTTAACAAAACAGGTGGAGAATTAAAATATATCTTTGTCATTTAATGATTCAATATATAACTGCAAAACAAACCCTGAGTTCCAAAAAAAAAAAGAAAAAAAGTTCATAAATGCATTAGTAACTTTTTTCAACATTACATTTCTTTCAGCTGGGAAGTTTCACTACGTGAAGTGAAAACTGCTCTTCCCATCTGTTAAGTGTTTTTCTCCATTAATTTCTGGAGAGATCATTAATCATTCAACAACAACGTGCAACACAGTGGGTGTGTTTACTCGTGTGTGTTTTTATGTGTGCACGCGTGTGTGTGTAACAAAACGTCAAATCCTGCCGGTTTTTGCGTTCGGCTCCATTCTAGGTGCCTATTTCCTGCCCTGCACTGTTGTCTGTTTGTTATCAGCTACCAGCTTACAGGTGACTCATGCACACAATGAACAATGAAACCATACATCAACCGGTTTCCAGGCAACGTCCAAAACTTTGACTGACTCTGCAGAAATGGAGTCTGATGCAAGAAAAACACAAGCTGCAGGAAAGCATCATTTTGACTAACTTTCAAAAAATTTCACAAGCTGCCGGTGTTACACGAACATTTCAATTAGAAACAAAACATGAGTGCGGGTAACAGTCAGCTTTGTTTGGTAGCTGTCATATAAAAGACAAACCAGTTACTGTAATTGTGGCAGGGAAATAGGAAGTTGTGATCAAATCTTTTATGATTATTCATCACACTACTGCATTTCAACACCACAGAACTTGGAACCTTGGGAAAAACTAGCATGTTATCTTTTGTCTAGGCATTGTTTTGATTCCACTTTTATATTGCTGTTCAGTGAGCAGAGAGTAGAAGCATCCAATCTGTGCATTTGCTGTGCTTTGTCAACAATCGCTTCCCCCGGAACTTTCTTCAGCTGCTCAACAGTAAAAGCCTGGGAAGCGAGGGGAAAGTTGATCAATTCTATAACGAAAAGCTCTGTTTTGATGCGGTACAAATGAAACGCACAACACTGATTTTTTTTTCTGTACAATTAAACTGAAGAAGGACCAAACATTTTCAGGGATAGATAATATACGTCAAGAATCAATAATCAATACTGTAGGCTGCAAGAATGTTGCTTGATCCCCAGTTGTCGTCCTTAATCCACAGTGAACTGGTTTTATGGGGCAACTCTAACTGCAAGGATAAATAAAGGACAGCTCCTCTATAGCTCCTTTTGTTGTTTCTTTCTAAGTGAAACTAACGGCAAAGATGCATGATTGTCTCTGCCAGTCATAAACCTGCTGAAGATAACAGTGTTTCTACTTTCGGTGATTTCTTTTCCTACTTAAAAAGTCCAGATTTTGCATAAGGTGTAAGCGTGTACTAATCAGTAAATGAATGCCCTAAAAGTAATTAAACAAACCAATCATTTCTGCATTTACCAAAACATACTGTGGCATTCCAGTGCGGTTTTCTTACATAATCACTGAGTGGAGACTGCTTCGGCATACTGGTAACCCAACTCAAACAAAATGCCTTCAGAGTGACTCCTGCAGCGCCCCGATCCCCAACGTGATCTCCATTCCAAGTTTGATACCTGTGGTTTCCCTCCATTGTGTTGTCCAGCCAGTGTCAAACCATTTTCACACCGGAGGAGCCAAACCAATGCTCGTTTTCTTGCCAACAACAACAGCTGCCATGGCAGCATTCCGGGAGGTCCACTTTTTAGGAGCAGGTCACTTCTTTGTTAAAGGGCCAACGAGAGGGGTTTTTTTTTTTTTTCAACTCTGCTCAAAGGTTGAGCAACTTGCTGAAATGAGCCAATGGCAGAGCAAAAGTGAAGTCTGTTAATGAGGTAAAAATGTGGCAGCTTTTTAAAATAAAATGTCAGCATGTGTGGGGGGCACAATTTTCTTTAAAACCACAAGATTATAAATAGGGACAGAACTAACGCTTCGTTTCCACCTACAAGTTCAGCACCAGTCCCCGAAAACATCAACACCTCCAACAACATCAGCTTGCCGCAATATGATTGGCAGACACACTGATTAAGATGAAGCCTTCTTTTTTGGGAGTGAAAAAGCTGTAAATCTTGGATTTACACAGCAGAAAGAGGGGGGAGAGAGGGGGTAAGAGTCACACTCCAGTGCACCGCTTCAAAGGAAACTTCAAAACACTGATGGAGCACATGGGAGACCAAACCTCCCACCAGGCAAGACATGTCAAAGACGCTCAAAGGGCTCCACATTTAAACTCCAAGGTGTGTTCACACAAAACTAATGCTAAATAACAACACTGTGGCCTTCTCCAAGTCAGTTTTACATGGCCTCAATTTGGTCATCTGACATCTGATTTAAGCATTATATGTAAAATTGATATTTAAAAATCCAACTGAATCTGTCTCTGAATTAAATTAGTACACATATTACAGGAAGCATAATTGTAGTGCTCATTATTAGAAGTAATAACTAAGCTATAAGCCTACAATAAGCTAATGTTACGTTTAGGGTCCAGTTCAATAGCATTACGCTCTTCCATCATAATTAGCTTCGCAATGCCAAAAAGTAAACAGATTTTAAAAGAAAAGGAAAAAACCGTGGACAACGTGGAGTCGTGTCCTATCAAATGATGTGGATAAGGAAAAATATGAAAAAATGCACGATTTTAAACGGCGTCCTGTCAGGCTCCTTCCACTCACCCGTATTCTTCTCATCGCCGCCACTATCTCCACTCGGCTGCTCGGCCGCGCCACATCCAGACTGCCAATGTACTAAAATATGACAGGTACAGCACATTAGTGAAAAAGGAAGCTGACTTTCCTTTAATCTCAAACACAAGTTCCTACAGTAAGGTAATAATCAGCCCAGCTTTGGGCAACTTTTACCTCTTGACAAGCTGACAACTTAAGTTTACTACGTAAGCACAAAACAAATTCTCGGGAGACCCAAGAGTCTTATGCCAGTTACCTGTTTTGTTTACGGTATATACGAGTTAAACAAGGCGCTATTCGTGCACAGGTTAGTTAACGAAGAAGACTCGGTGACATAATAAAATATAAATGAAGTGCTGCGCTAACCACTTCAAAGTTACTTGGAAACTCACCTTTGCCTCGAAGTTGATCCCATGCTGGAATGCTTCCTCGTTGTGCAATGGGATCCTCAGATCGTGCCCATCATCTACGAGGTTGTACTTGGTTTTCCCAGGCATTTTTTTTTCATCCAAATATTCCTACTCCACAGTGCCAATAGGATATATGCGGGAACAACTCGGTTTACCGGGGATAAATCCAAGAAAAACAATTCCAAATCCGATCAGTGAATGTTCTCCATAGCGGCAAAGCGTCCCGACGCTACCACACCGCCGTCAACAGCGGCCACAACTTCACCGGCGCTCCGGGAAACTGCCGGCCCGCTAACGGTCACCGCTACGGCTTTAACGACACACGCAGGCCGACACAAACAGCGTCATGCGGGGACAGATGTGTTTTCCCGACTTTTCCTGTGGCGAGTGTGGAAGTTCGTCGGGTCCTGCCTCCGGTTCAGGACTCCCCCCACCCCGCCGCCCTCATGGAGGAAAGGTGTGATTGGACGAGTCCGGGGATCCCGCCTGTTTCCATTGGAGCAGAGACGCGCCGTGGCCCTGAGGAGGAGTGGCTGAAAGTCTCGTACCTGCCCCCTTCACCCCACAACCTGCCCCCTCCCTGTTTCACACACACACACACACACACACACTATAATGGAAATAACCTGAAAGACACCTATGCAAGTGGCGTGTATATTTACAGGTGTTTACTGTAAACGCTGGCTTTGGTCAGCAGTAAAATAACCTGTATGTAAACGCACTGCCTGGAGACTGATGCAAAACGATATCCTTCAATTAGCAAAAAAGTAAATTAATTAAAAAATGTTGTATTCATCTCTTGTGATGTTATTTAACATTTTTGGAGAGATATTGTCAAGAAGAGATAGCATGCCTTGCTTTTGATCTCTTTGCCATTAAAATAAGAAACACAGTCTTACAGGTGTAGTAAGAACACAACTGGGATTTTGAATTAAATAAAAAGGACAAGGCTACCAACTAGTGGCCACATCTGCTAACACCTATTGGGAAGCTACTGCATAAAGGTACAAGTTAAATATATTGTGATTTTTTAAAAAGCACACCGTACTTTTATAAATATTTTTATGAATTTTTTTTATAAAAAAAGGAACCGTCACTATAAATCATGATTTAACATCAGGAACTTATAACATGTTATTTAAAATTTACAGTGGGCGTCTAAGTTTTTATTTAAGAAAAATAGAAAAACTTCACTTAGTAGTTTGTTATAATTGTTTACATCTTCTATTCAGAGTATTTCTGAATAAATTTAATTGAACTTTTTACATTTTATTTTATCTATTATTCTGATGTCTTTTTCTCAACACATCATTCTGAAACCTTTAAATATTACAGGCTTCAGTATTGGAAAAAGGAATTATGATACAATATTCTAGATGTTTGCATTGCATTGTTTTGTCTCACTCCAAAAACTCAAAATCTTACCAAGTCTTGTTTCTATTCAACTTAAAACACTTAAAATAAGACAAAATCAGCTACAGAGCAACATTTCAGTAATATAGGGACGTAAGTGTAATAAGATAATTTTGACTAGAAATAAGACAAATATACTTTTTAAAAAAGTTTTTTCAGTGCTTTATTTCAGATTTGTCACACCCCTATAAAACATACATCAACAGAAAAGAGATCTTTAAAAAAAAGTCTGAATTTAAAACCACTGCACAATCCAGAAAAAGGAAGCCGTAGTCTAGTTAGCAATTTTATCAGTACAATGATAATAGGCTGCTGTTGCTGATAATTAAAGGGAGATCTTGCGCACTCGGACACTCATGGACACCCATCCACACATTGAGTTCAAGCAGCTGGAATAACAGTATCTCCAGGAAAACAGACCTATGTGGTCAGTAGACAGGGTAGTGTTCATACTTAATGCAGTTGTCATGTTGTATGATGCACACACCATCTGCGTCACCCTAGGAGTTAAAGATGCATCACTTCCCACAAGGTGGTCCCAGGCGGGTAGGGGTGGGGAAGTGGAGCAGCACAAATTCACATTCACGCCACCTCTGTGGAAATTTCCAAAGTGCTGCTGCTGCTGCTAATAGGGCTTGTAGCGGTGTGGTATGATTTACTCCAAACTGCCATCTCCCAAATTCCCACCTGCTTTCTTAATTATCATCGCTCTTCAGCGTGCAGTTAAATTAGAACATCATTCTCATACATCAAAATTAACTCCTCAGTTTAGCAACTGAGCGCTTCCTAAATGCTGTGGAGGTGGATTACCTTCAAACCAAATCACGTAATTACAGAGAACATTAGCTGGCCTCCCAGCTTTAAATGAACAAACACACATGAAGCCCTTATAACACTTCTATCAGTGTACTTCTTTTTATTATGCCCGGAGTATTTTGACGGGTATCCCCATAAAAGACGGCTGTATTACATCATTCCTTCAGCCCTTGTGGTCATGGCCACCTTGCCCTCGTGGCAGCAAAACAGCTATTTGGCAGACATGAACAGCTGCTGTCTGTGCATGAGGAATTTATGCTCAGTACAACCAGTTACCCACTTAGGGACCCCATGTGTTCTTAAGGCTCTTTAAAAAAGGATAGAGAACAATTTAATCCTTGCCAGGTCACCAGCTTCATGTTGATCCGTTGATTAGGGTTGCGGCATCTTAAGCGCACGCTTCCTGCATGAACTAGGTCTTGAATACTGTTCACACAAACAGCATGGGTCCAGATAGAGGACAAAAGGCAACATGCAAGGTTGTCACAGTCACATATTTGTGCCCTTGTGGGGAAATCTTTAACCTTCAGTGACAGTTATGTTGTTAACCTAAAGGTGAAAAAAAAATACAATTTCTTTTTAAAGAAATATGTAGTCTACATTTGGAAATAGACTAGCATTTGTATGGATGTTTTTTCAGGGTTACTATAGCCACTTCAATCTTTAAATATGTCACCTATCTCACATCTACTGCCTAATGTGGATGTTTTTGGAGTGAACTAGAGCAGTCAAACAAATTCCACCAGTCATGGGGAAATTGAAGTTAACAGTAACCACGTACACATCAGATATATACTGAATGAAATGAAAGAAAGGAGGAAATAATAAGTCCTTTAAATCTGAAGGAAAATGATTTAAGACCTGAAACAGACTATTTCCTGATACTACATCTTGAATTTAGGATAAACACTAAAAATGCAAGTTTTTTGCTAAAAAACACATTCATATCTTTTTGGCCAGTTCATTTTATTCTGGCACAGGTATTTATTTGGGCATTATAATATAGCTCCTGCCCTTCTAACACTCTAAACATTGCTGTGATAGTCTCTAAATACACACTGTGTCATTTTAAGTGGATCTTCTACTAAGTAAGGTTTATTTATAAAGCACTTTTAAAGAACAAAATTCACAAAGTGCTTTACAATTTAATATTTTTAAATAATTTTTGCAAATATGGCCTGTCCCTGTGGTAAAAGAAGATGCTGTATGCATCAACAGTTGAAGTTGATGCGTTTCTCTTAACCCATTCCTGCACTGCACTTGCTTACAGTAAAGTAATCAGGCAATCAGGACATGATGGCCAAGACCCTGTGGCATGAGCTGCAAACTGGCCCGGGTCTTTGTCACACTATACATACAGATATTGTCTGTATGTATTGTATGTATACTTTTAAGGTGCCTTTTTAATACCCCATCATGTTACTGATCTGTTGTCAATAAATGTAATTTGTTGCAAAATGTTACTCCAGTGGTTTCTTTTTATTAACACTTACTTTTCCAGTTTTTTTGTTCTTCCTCTCCAAAGAATTGCGAGATGTGTTGTATGCCCAACTTCTGTCCTAATGTCTTTGGAAGTGGGATTCTACGATGATCATAAAATTTATGTTACCTTTTAACCACCCAAGATTTGAGAGCAGCAACACAAAGAAATCAAGGACTGCATTAATAGTTAAAGATACTTTTCTGCAATTTTAGCCCTTGGTGCTATGGTGGTGGTTACAGTGAATGGGCACAAATGATAGAAGGTGGCTTCTTGAAGTAAACATGAATTTACCAAGTCAAGTATCAGGGATTAATTAGTCTAGGTAAATGCTATGACGAGCATTGGACATTGGATTGGAGGATAAACTGTGTTTTTGAGACTGCCCCATTTTCACAGACCATGTTTAAATCATAAAGGGGGAAAATATATAAATACAAGAAAGGTGAGGTGGCATTTTCCATTAGATTCAGATGGCTGAGGCATGAACATATTTAGGAATTCCACTCATACCACTTCATCATATCTATTTTGCTTTCCCAGGAGGAAGGACCTTGTCTGAGACTATTTACCACAACATTCATCCACACTAAGCTGGTATTCTAAAAGATGTTCACTTCAGTAGCTTTATCTTAACTCATCAGTTTAGTTTTTAGTGTGAATCAGAGCTCTGTTTTTCTTTTGGTACCAATATCATGCATTGTTAAGGTCAGCAGGAGCTTTGAACCTGGGATATCTTTTGTCTTAGCCACAAGCAACAAGAAAAACACAGACACGGTAGGTTTAAAAGACAGTCCCCACACAACACACACACATGCATGCATGCACAGCCTTACACATCTTGAGGGCCTTTCAAGCTAAATTAATAATGGAGATCTTTAAAGAATGTGGGCCACACAACAAAGAAGACAGACAAGAAGGGAAGCAGCGGGACAGCTAATGACATTTATAATTGTGCCTGAAGCTGTGTAGCAACATGCAGTATTAAAAGATGTCTTCACTTCACACTTGGGGGTAGATTAGTACAGATATAATCTGCCTCTGATACAGCATCCAAGCACATAAAAGGCTTATACAACCCAGTGTTAATTATGTAGCAGGCTTGGACGTGCAATTAAATGTAAGTCTTTGCTGTGCTTGTTTGTAAAAGTGAGTGAAGTCACATAGATGGTGAAAAAAGAGAATCAACTGAAAGATATGTTTGAAGAGATAAATTAGTCTTACAGTCACTCCAGTTTGTAATTTTGATTCTCATAACAACCACGGTTGCTTTCATTGCAGTGTTTGTTTTAATGGTGTTTTTGACACTCATGCCAAATATCTGCAACACTGTCATGTAGCTCATATATTGTGGTTTACAGAGGAATTTAAAAGCTGTATCATTCATCACTTTTAGGATCAACCAAAACTGATGTGTCTACAGCAAGCACCAACATCCAAGGCTGAAGAATGAGGCCAAATGGGGAACAGCCAAATACACAGAGTAATTTCTGAAGTAGCCACTCGAGGCTGGCTCCAAAAGTGTTTCAGTGATGTAGACTATATATAAGCGATGGATATAGACGATGATTCACCTGAGAGAGGGATATTATACCCCTTATGTCAAACTGAGTGGTTTATGGCCCCCTAAGAAAGATTTATGGCCCTAGGAAGTGATAAAGTAATAAAGGAAGTAATAAAAATATGATATTCATAAAA